CCAGTGGTCCGTCACATGGTAGAAATAGAACCATTAGCCGCCATACTTCCTTCATGGTCTGGCTGGTCTGGCTTTTCAAACGAAGTGTCCGTGCTGGGGTCACGTGGTTCGTGACGCAAACTGGTGCTGCGCAGAACGGACAAAAATCGGTGAGCCGGAGTGACTCACACATGTCGATCAAGTTTTCGTACAGTTTCACTGATCCTTGAGCAAATGCTGAGATGGCCCCTTGTTTTGCTTATGGACATAAATGTAACTTCAATTTAACTTCTCCTCATAGCACGTCGCACACAGTTTTTGACATAAATAAGTAATAAATATCTAACCACCGCGGAGGAAAAGCTGCGAAATCCTTCTCAAAGCCATTTCGAGTTTTCGCTTCGCCTAAAATGCGCGCGCAGTTTAATTCAAAGACTCCAATTACTATGAACTAAACAAATACCCATTTTCCCTCTTACATCAAAGAAAATATTGTATTTAGCAGTTTCATTCAATAGTAGAAAACAAGTGAGAAGGACATTTCTCCCTTCCCTCCCCTGAGAAAGCCACTGCAATAAATTAAATTGGAAATATAAGTAAGTTAGTAATGTAAAGTCAAATGCAGTAAATTAGGAATTTGCCTTGGAATTGGAGAAGACTGCCCCCAGGTCTGGCAATCCCATACACAGTTCAACATAAAACTATGATTATTAATAGAAAACATTAATGTTAAAATTTAATTATCTTTGAAATATATTTTACGTATTTAGTACTAAAATATTTCATATGTAACAAATAAGGGCAGTGGGAAAGGGGTCCCAGAAAAGTAGCTCCCATGTTGCTTTGGGTTGAGCAAGTCTAATTACTAATCTCTTGGATGATGCCCTCTGAGGATTCCTGAACATGTTCGGCTGTTCATCTGCAGCATCAACTTTCGATTGTAGTCAAAATATGTTGTAGGATCGTGTCCAAAATGTCTCGATTTATTCCTTTGTAGGAAGCACAGTATTGTCCTACTTTTTTTTAGTCAAATTGCGATAGTATCTTTTGGCGTTTGTCTCGAACATTCTGTTCTGTATACGGAAATCTGCAGCTATGACACGAGTCCAGTTGTGGATTTTCTGTTTCAGTTTCTCAGTCACCTTTTGTCTCATGTCGTTCCTTTCTGGTTCAACATTCATACAGTATGTACTATATCGGTAAACACGTCAAAAGCCCAGTCAGACGTTTCGATTTTGCGCCGACAGGGGCCGTGACTGTCGCGGAGGAATTGTTCTAATAATAATAATAATAATAATAATAATAATAATAATAATAATAATAATAATATGCCTTTATTGATATGGCGATAAGGCCCGCTCTTCCGCCTAACCGCATGTCAGAAATATACAAATTAGTCTAAAAAGGCAATATAATCTACAAATGTAAATGTAATATAATCTACAAGTGGACAACAAACATAATTTAAAGCAACGTATAGATAGATAACATCAAAGGTTAAGTGGATACAAAAATTTGTTTGAAATAAATTTAAAATTCATAGACAGAAAGATTGAAAACACAATTGAATTGAATAAGATATTATGTGCTCCTCATAATATCTCATTTGCTCGCTATGCGGTATCCATCAAATTCCAGCTTTTCTGAATACGTGATTACTATCAAACGCAATGTTCTGCAGGAGGGAGGATATTTTAATTGCTCTCAGAAGATCCAAAGGAATGTAGTTTTGTCACTCGATTTGAATGAAGCGCGTTGCGAACGCGGTGTTGCCGACATGGGCGTCACAGTCCTGATCCCAGCCCGAACTTCTAGAATGCGCGCGAACGTCTCCTTTTGGACTGAGTTAGTTTTATAAATTTGCAAAATTCTCCCATTTGAAACGGTAGATTTCCTTCAAATTGCGCATATTTATTCTTTGAGATGTTAGTTGCCAAAAGAAGAAATAAAAAAAATGTTCAACAGTTAATTTTCTCACCATTTTAAAATTTCAGGTGAGATCTGCCAGGTCACCAGAAGAGCCCATATTAAAACAGCAAACTTTACGGTAAAATCGATTCAAACTCTACCAGAATATAGAATAACCTCTCATCTTCCCATTAATGCAATAAAAAAGACAGGTTAAACATAACACTTATCTATCACTAACCACCTTAATACAGAAAGACATCACCTCACTTGCCGCTCAATCCTGGAGTTTTCTTGTTTAAATCCGTCTCTGCTCCTACGAATGACTACTAAGATGGATTACAGAAAACCACTTTTCCTTTATGAAGAACCTACGTAATGTGGATTCTGACTAGATTCTCTGATTCAATTGTCTCTACCATCTTCGCAATTTTTTGAAATCGAAGTTCTCGATTGGGTATCAGAGCCTCCTCTCACCTCGCAAAGTGTATGCAAATTTTAATTGGAGAACACAGAAAAATTGGATAAAGTCGAAAAAAATAATTCAAGCGGACCCATAGAACGAGTTTGTCTGTCGAAAAATTGACACTTTTTCCGGGAGCATAACAATACTTTCTTTCTTTTAAGTAATAGTAATTGAGAAAGTAAAAATCTGAGGTGAATGAACACAAATAATAACATATTAAAAACAAGTTATTTGATAAATGACATTTTTCCAGCTCTTAAGCTGCAAATACTTCTTTGAATTGTTTGCAAGACAGCAAGTAGATACATATATATTATTTCTTAAGGGTAGAAGTCACTATTTTCCCCAAAGTAAAAAACTTGGGAACCCCGAAAACGAAGCCAGTTCTGTATTCATGAAGTACGTTTTGTTATGTATATTCTGTACATGTAAAAGAAGCTTATAAGAGAGTACCTTAGATATTTTGCCTGTCTTTTGAATTGAAATCTTGTGAACTCTATTCAATAAAAATATTTGAAGATTTATAAGTTATTAAAAATCATCTGAGCTTTGAAATTATTATTCATTAAGTCTTTAATGAAAATATTTTTGTTACTTTATTTTCAATGTTTAGGTAAAGAAATAAATATATAACAAAAGTCAAACCAAATTGTATATCCAGGATTACTGAGTAATAATGGAATTGAGACTGACCATTTGATAATTTAGATCCATAAATCAGAAAAGGATCCCCAATTACATTTATGGTTTCTGATGTGAATTTCCTTTTTGCAGAGCATATAATCTTCTGCTAGCTCAAAGTGAAGCTATCAATATATATTCAGTTGGTTCTTGAACACCTTCCTCATCCTATGAGGAAACAGATACTGAATATTCAACATTTTCATTGCATGCTAGAGGTATAGTAGTACTCTTGACAGTGAACAGGGCTATTATAAATGTATCAGTATTTGTAATTTACAGGGGTAAAAGGGAAGCAGAGTAGAGAAAAAATTACATTAAATTCAATTAATTTTTACAATATAAAATACAGCACATTTTTAAAATGTTCGTAATTCACATTCCACTGCAGGTTTTTTGTAGCTGTGATTTCATTTAGGTGACAAAGTTGTAAACAGTTAAATTATAGAAGTTCAATTCTTTTAAATCGCACTTGACAATTGAGTTTAAAGATCACTAATGGTTTCTCTTGAATGCCATTTCAATTGTGTTCATCACTCCAGTAGCCTTCATAGCAAACAAAGATGTTTGAAAAATTGATTATTTTGTCTTTCCAAGTGTGTCAACTGCTATGGTCTAGTAAGTGTACAGCGTCTTTTATCAGAGGAGATGATGGTGTACTATTTTCCGCGATAGATGATGAGATCCGATGCCAATTACTGTTGGCTTGAAGGTTTTACCTAACGAGGTATCTCCCACCAGTGAGGTAGAAGCTCCAGGACAGAACGAGTTTAACTTTCAATGTGTGGTGTTGTAGTGCTTAAGTGTAACAAAATCAATGCAGGCCCACCGCAAAAGTTTTATCCAGGTTTTTTTAAACCTAATAGAATAATGTGCAAGTGCAACTTACCACCTTTCATTACATACATAATGTGAATAAAAAGGGCAAAAGATTACTCTTCATTATGAGTAAAGGTTGCAAGTGATAAACATTATGAATTCTTATTACCATAAAACCAGTGTAAACAAGCACATGGAACCTTGATTATCTGCCTTATTAAGTAAGCTTAAATTCCGATGCTTTACAATTAACCAAAGCTTCAATCCAAATCATCATCCTCCATTCCTTTATTTTGATTATCTGAAAGAGTATGTGCTCATCAATCTCGGATAATCATGGTGCCCAACAAAAACATTTGGATTCACCTGTGTTTAAAGTGCACCAAATGTGAAAAGAAATTTCATTAGTTTGCATTTGCTTGCAAAGCTTTGGGAATTTATTTGTTGTATTAATGAGTCAAATTACATCTCTAGTGTGTTGATAAGTAAAAAAATTCTAAGCCAATTGATTTATTTAGTAAAAAAACAGCAAAAACTGTATATGACGTATGGGGGAGATCATCATCTGCAATCTCAAGTTCCAGATTCCTCTCCTAACGTTTTAACTACACGTTGTAGGAGGATGAATAAAAGTTTTTAAAAACCAGCAATATAAATAAAAATAAAATTTAAAAAGCACAAGATCAGCAACATTTGAAAAAACTAGACATTTTCGAGAGTTCCAGAGTTATACAAAACTTATTTACAATGGTAAACAAACTGACGATTTAATTTAATTCAGGTTCTGTGACAAGCAGACACGTCAGTATTGAAAGGTTAATTTATTTCTTCCTGTACAATTAAAATAAAAAATATTGACTTTTCTTCAAATTTACAACATAATTTCTTTATATACATTATTCTAAATGCTTTAACAACAACAACAAACACAGATATTTAATTGAAACAATGCAACATAATTTTGAAATGTTTAACCCATATAACTATAAAAAAGATTTAAGTAATAGATGTCATCCAGGTCAGCTATTCTGTTATGATAAAGCAAAAGTTTACACACACTATCTCAGTATGACAAGTTCTATCACACACTAAAAATTAACAAGAGTCTAATGTAGAAAATATGGGTATTGGGTTTCCTATATGAACATCATTGATTAGAGGCTTTATTTGAGTTTGTAGAATTGTCTAATCCTTCTCCATTAGATTCAAGAAACACTCTGCTTTCTTCTTTCAGTTTTTTCAACCTATCTTTGGAATGTTTAAGCTGAGTTTCTTTATAACCATGTTGCCAGAAATAAGTCTCTTCTGTGGTTGTTCCACCGACTGTGTGGGCAGCATACATTACACATCCACCTGCAGTGCCTATCACAATTCCTAACACCCCTCCCATCGCCATTAACCTCACACCACTTTTCCACCCCAACCATGGACCTAAAACAGCACCTGCAACTGAATATTCCAGGATTCCAGAATGACCTCTATACTCGGACACAGCTGTGGTCAGTAAGGTAAGAGAGCCACACAACAACCCAACCCTCCACGCCCAACGAAAACCGCCTTTGATGAAGTTAACAACAATCTCCTGACCATCTGGTGATAAGTTTCTCCCATGCACTTTCTCTTTCAAAGCAAGGGCATTGCTTTGTTGTTTCACTTCAGGCGATTGTTTTGTGCTACGGTACCCACCGTATGTGGCTCCCACGAAAGCTCCAAATACAGTAGCTTGATACGAACGTATCAATTCGGGACTAAATGAACCACCTTCGTCCATACTAAACATTCGGTAGAGTCTCTCTCTTCCAGTTAAAGCATACCTTTCACGGTCGAACATAGACGCGGATTTTTCTGATTGTTTTCCATTATCACTTGATATTTGGAATGGCAATAGACCACATAACACACATTTGACACCAAACAGACGCGTCTTCCAGAGCATTATACCAGAATTTCAATACTAGTAATTTATATGTTGAGAACGTATCATTTGCACAACCTCGATAGTTCATAACCTGTAAAAACTTAGAGGAACCAACTAAACATTGTTTGGCAAGCTAAACAAAAGGAAAAGTACACAAAAACGTAGTTTTAATAAAAAGTTCTAATTAGTTCAAGAACATTTCGGCAACGACGTTTCCGCTAATTTTTTGGGAAATTCGGATAATAAACTTCACGACAAAAGACACGCGAAACGCGCGAAAATCGTGAATCAAGAAACAAATGAAAACGCTCAAGTTAAATTTCAATAGCAATGAAGCCTTAAGAGAGCATTAAAAGTACACTCTTTGTGAAAGCAGTAGTGAAAGAATCTCATTGTCTCCAAAACTTGACATTGATAATTTTCATAAAATTTAAATCTTGATTTTGAATGTAACCCCTTTTGAATCCCTGAACTCAGGTATTCTCATGCTTCAGTAATCTGGAGACATGAATTTTGAATGAGAATTTTCTCAGATTAAGATGTGTTTAGGTTCTTGTTCTTTATTCCTTCTCATTTATCCATTGGATATTTTCTCATTACTTGTATTTTCAAGTCCTAATAAATCGAATTGAAATATATTATATGAAATTATGGAACCAGTTAATATATTAAATTTGAATAATTTTTGTTTGCCAATGGATGGTTCAAAACATTAAACTTTAAAAGCATTATTTGTTTTCTTCTCTTAATTTATATCCTCTTTTATTATTTATGTGGCCTTTGACAATGGCAAAATCATGTAATTTTTCACTTTAAAATTTATGGAAATAAAAATAACAAAAACTTCAGTCTACCTATTTTTTACTCATTTAGCTATTAGTTCAATTTTTTCCCACTTCAAAATTAGTTGTTTTTTTTCTTCTATTCTTTCCTTCAGTAAGTACTGCATTCTCTTGTATCTCTAGTCTTCATTTCTTTCTTGGTTAGCACCGTCATCTTCCTAATAGTGTAAACTTTACTAAACTTATTTTTTCTATAACAAGGTGTTTCTATTTTGTTTATAAAACTAGATCCAAAACCTAAACAACATTGAGTGTAACATAATTAATCTTATGTAAATTGTCATATGTAAATGTAAATTATTTTAATTATCTTCTCAGATGTTTTCTTGACTTTTCTTCGTAAGAACAATAAAATAATTTCTTTAAAAAAATCCTAATTAGGTTTCATCGAACAAGCCTTGAAAATTTCCTGAAGGAAATAAAGAGACAGATATATCTCATGAATTTATTTAAAAAAAATAATTCTCTAGTATACTGAGAAAATGATGGAAATTTTCCTTCCTGGACACCCATTCTATGGAGTGAGAGCACCCAAAACAACAAAATTTTCAAAAATGTAATAGGTATGTATTTTCTTTAATTGTATCTAAGAATGTTTTTAGAGTGAAAACTTCTATTTTTATTAGAGTAAAAGTTGTGTTCTTGCTACTATTTTTAAAGGATCTTTTATTGTCGAAAAACAGTGCAAAACTGTAATGTTTTAAGAGAAGAAATGTGTTACATCTTAATTTCTGGGATTTCTATTCTAACCCATATGGAAGTTAAATTCAGAATATAGAAGGAAACATGCATTTTTGGCATTTGCAATAATTATTAAGAAAATAACCCCTTACCTTCACCCCCTTATAATATTTTGCTTCTTGATTTGAGAGCCAAAATTAGTGATGAGTTTGTAAATAGTTTTTATTACACAAAAGATAATATTTTCTTATCAATTCTTGCCAAAAACGCTCATTGGTGTGCTCATAATTCAATGTAATGTTTATAGATTTGAGTAGGGATCCCAAAACTCACAAAATCATTCACAGAGGTAGAGATTTCTCACCATATTATACCACTACATTTTTCACTGTTTTTGACTTGTATTAACTGCTGTTAGTAACAAGTGTTTCTCTGTATTTTTCTGGTTGGAGTTAATTTACACCTGAGAGAATAATTTGATAGCAAAGTTATAGGTATTTTGCATTTCCATACTTTTTGCAGAATGATACGTAGTTTTTAATAATTAAAGCAATATTTCTCATACGCCAGGGATTCAAACCTTTTTCTTGTGTTGGCCCCTTTTAAAAGAATCGTTTGCTTCATTAATCCCTCTTTTTTATCAGTAATTTACAGCATACAAAATTATCATTACACGAAAAAACAAAACAAGTAACTGACTTAAAGATAACAATTAAATAATCAAATACAAACAAGATTTGGACAAAATTATTGATTTAAAAAAAAATTGTTTATTACTATTTTTAATCCTACAAACATAATTCAACTTTGCAAAACTAAAATCACAGTTTATAATTGCACTAAATTTCATTTTTATTAATGTGAAATTCTAAAAGATGAGCGAATTTTTAACTTAAGTGAATTGTAGCTTTGTATAAGAAAAATTATAAAACAATTCGTAAATATTTTTTGTAACCGAATGGGATCTTGATCTTTACTATACTGATTAGTCGTCAACGCGCATTTGGGTATTGATCTCTCAATCATCATTAACACATTAAAATGTTAATTACCCCTGAGGGGTCAAAACAAACCCCATTGGGAACCCCTATTCTACACTGTATCTCAAGTACCCACAAGACCGACTCCTATAGTTACAGTGATGAGGATGATCATGTAATTTGAATTTTAAAACGTTACATGGGTCAAACAGGGTTGTTGAGGTAGGCACAAGATGAATATTGAGTTAAAAAAGTGAATATTCTTCTTCTCTAGTCTCTTAAATCATTCAACTAAGATTTGCAGGGATCATTTTATACTCTTTCTAGAACTTTGACTTGGTAAATTACTGTGCTCAGAAAAACAAAATGCAAAAGAGAACTTTATATGACTTATTTTCTTTTTATTTGTAGTTTGTTAAATTAAAATGTAAAGACAATAAAGATATTATATGTATCTCCTATATAACTAAAATAAATGAAACTCCAGTGGCATATGTTCAGATAAACTTCTTTAACAATACATAATTAATTGATGAATACAAAAAGTTGCTTATTTGGTTAAAACAATTGTGTAACTTTTGTTGTTAACAAATAAAACAATATTATGGAACAATAAAAATACATAGAACTTGATGAATTTAGAAATATTTCTTGACTATAGTTTTTGAAATTGTCTGACAAAACATCAGACTAAAGGGTATTGAAATTGGATATTTACTGTAATACGCACATAAGTGGCTAATGTATTTAAAAATAAACGACAATATCAGAGATAAGTTAAAAATAATTTGATGGTCTCATGATTTGAAGAAACAGTGATCACCACAATCAGTGTTTCCTGCATTTAACTTGAACAATTACATTGATAACTGACCACATTTCCATTAGTGAGTGGCTTTTTCATGGGGGCACAAAACAAAAATCATATAATATCTCAGTTTATGACATATCTCTTAATCATCATATAAAATCAAGTATGAGATGAGACTGCGTACAACAAATCATAAGTTTGTGATAATATCTCTTGTTACAAAGTGAGACTGAAAGTAAATTCAAACTTTGCGCCAACAAATTTTGATCCTGAGGTACAATCCATAATAAAAGTTTCTGTTTAAATGTAACTCTTGGATCTCTGCTATTCTTACTTCAAAAATATTGGTATGTCAACTCTTAATTTATTTACCTATTAAAATATTTGTGGTTTTGGTAATTAATTTTCTAATGATCCATTACCACAACCATATTCTCCTATTTCTTCTTCCGCTTCTGTTTCTTCTTCTACAAGACCTTCACCATCTTCACCTAAGTCTTCATCTTCACATTCATCCTCTTCATCTTCTTCTTCTGTGTCATTTTCTCCGTGATCTACATTCTCTTCTTCGTCATCATTATCATCATCATCATCATCATCATCAAGTGTATCTGACATTAAGAAATACTGTAATGGATTTGACCAGATTTCATCCTTAATGACTTCTGCAATATCATCAGCATCAGGATTTGAGTGATCTGTAAGCCAACCAAAGAATGATTTTGAATCCATGCTTCGTTTCCTGCTTTTGATTTTTTCACTTTTCTTACCAATCTTCTCTTCCAAGTCTTGACCATCCTTCCATTTAATTGTTGTACCTGTTGAAGTAATTTTACCAAAAGGTCCTAAATGATGTTCTTTCACTAGTAATTCATTTTCAAAATATGGATTTTCCTTAAAGTAAAATTTTATTTTGTAGCCAGATTTGATATCTTCTGATTCTTCAACTTCTATTTTAAAGAGATAGTACAGGCAATCTTCTTCTTCAGCATGTAAAATAGGTATTATATGAGGATGATTTAGTAATGCAGTCACCCAAAAATTGGGAATTCTTGATATTATTTCCTGACGCTTGTCATAATGTGGTTTTCTAAGTCTGTTATACTTCTGTACCACTTTTAAAATCTCTTCACTTGCCTGCCCGTTAAGTTCATCAATAGTTTCTTGACAAGCATCTATTTCGCTCATTGCCTTTTGGGTTTGTGCATCGTAATCTCGCTCATCATCTGTTTCGTTTTTTTCCAGTTTCTTTATTTTCTTAGATGTGACACCGTTTATAGACATCGTAAAAGGGAAAGAATCTTGGCTGCACAGCGGTCGGATACAATATTGTAACTTGATATTTTCGTCTGCACGAAGAAACCAGTCGTAAGATTCTCCAACTTCCAGAAATCAAATGATGTTCACCTTATCATGGCAGCCGTATTCATGTGTTTTTCAATTCAACTTGTACTAGGTTTTTGTGAAACGACACATGGGTGATTTCATTATTTTATATGGTATATTAATTGAACAATCGTTTATTCTTCACAAATAGAATAAAATTTCTTAAAATATTTCGTTTGTACTCCCGCCTAACGTCGTATGCGGAATTTCCCAACGCCATCTTTTGGTCTAAAATTGCATTCGTGCATATTATTACTATTTTAATATCCATATTATTTTGTATCTCATTACTAGCTTCACGTATTTCACCTCACTTAGCTTGTAACGATCACTTTCAATTTAAAAGCTTCAACAGAATTCAACAGAACCGCTTTTTTTAGGATGATACAAGATACAATTAAATAATTTGTAGAACTACATACATAGACTTTTAAAATCGTATCTATTGTAAAAAAATATAATAGGAAAACAATAATTAATATTAAATATAATTTAAATATTATTGAATAAACAAAATACATAATTCATTAAGTATATTCGAAAATAATTATTGACATTGATTTCCGATGCATGATTTTATTGATAATTGTAACGTCTCTAGACGCACGGTTTATTGAGCTCTCCTTTTGTTATTTTAGTTGTTGAAGTAGAACCGAGAGTGAGTTGTTATTTTGTTAACAATAACATTAACTCAAATCTATAGTTGTTTTACTAAGACAAATTAGTTTTCTATCTCCAGGGAGCGAAAATTTCTGGTTTTCCCATGTTAATAATTTCGTTTTGTGGATACACTCATTAATCTTTCAACTATTTTAAGAAAAAGCTTAGCGCGTAGAAGAATATACTTTAGTAAAAGGGTGAACAAAAGAAAGAACGTTCCAGAAAAACGCGTTATACTTCTCTCCTTACATCACATACAGTTTCTACTTTTTGACGAAAATAAATCAAATCAGAAAACAAAAATTATACAAATTTAAGTTGACCGCCTCTTTTTTCATTACATTAATTTATTATTTGTTTCACTCTTTGTCTTTCATTTTTACCAGTGTTTATATTGTAGGGATCCCACCTGGGTCCCATTTATCTAACACGCTGATCTAAGACCGTAGCGCATATGCCTTTACACCGGTGCGAATGTTTTCATACCAACCCAAAAAATGCTCTCCCTACCAGTATTCAGAATTAAACTTTCATGCATACACTGTGGTAGTATGTTTCTTAGACCGACCGCGCTGAAGTACTCCTAAAAATACTTTAAATGAAAGTAAAATCTGTTCTTCAAAATTGTAAGAAAGAATCTGGGGCTTACCGGTGTAAGTTGTTTAATAAAAGATGTTTAAATTGGTACAGGGTCTTTTGGAAAAACTTTTGCAGGCATATGTCTTTTTAAGTACTTGAATTTGGACGGTGCAAATATATTTTCCATTATTAATTACGTAGTAACTTTTTGGAGGAATCAGATGATATTAAATGTAATATATCACACCGGGCACTGAGGAGTAATAATAATAATAATAATAATAATAATAATAATAATAATAATAATAAAAACACCCAGCAAAATTCATAGCAACCAGAAGTACTGGTACTCGGCCTAGGATTTATGTTGCATATATCATGATATTATCAGCACTGATTCTCTTTCTCTTAGGGCACGAGAATACACCTCTGTAACTTAAAATTTTACATTTTGCAAGCCATGGACCGATGCAACGTTATGTAATAATTTTTTGTTGGTAGGATTCCCTTTATTTGATACTCCTGTAAATACGTCAGCTGCTATTTTAAAGACGCTGACACATGCATCTGCGACATTATATTTCTTGTTTCGATACCAGAAATCATTTAATATTTTGTTTAATATTTAATTCATCATTTAATATTTTCGAAAATGTGCAGTAGATTTTCTGTTTGTTGTCTTTTAACAATATGACTTTTCCAAACTTTTGATGGAAGCAAGTGTAGTTAAGGTAGAATCAAGTGTGAAGATAGTATTTGGAGAAAGTTCTGCGATTAAAAACGTTTACCCGGAATTTGGGGTGAGAGAAATATTCCATAAACGTCAAATTCCAGAAATGAACTACGTTTCTCGGTATTGCGTCGACTCTAAACGTATATGCGACCAATTATGTTGCAAAATCGGCTCAACCGTATAGCGATTTTAGATGTTTATAGCGACATGACCGACAAAATTGATTTGCAAAATATGATGAATTTTTATATAAAAAAAAGCAAAACGCTGCGCTGCATTTGCATTGGAAAAATGAACTGCGGAAGTTGCACAAAAAGTGTGATAACAATTTGATATCAAATTAATGATAAACATGACAATTTGAAAATAAAATTAATTTTTCCTTCGTATACATTTTTGGTGGGTGATGAAGTGGGTAAGGGGACTACCCCCTGGGTCAGCTACCCACTCGGACTTAACAACAATCGCCGGCCCTAGGTACCCTTATTTACTACTTAGATTACTTACATTTCTAAATATTATCATGAACAGAATAGAATTACTTGTTCTTCCTCATGATTTCACTCTTCACTTTCAATGGACAACAATAATTTATTTTCTTAAAAACTGTTCAGAACTTTTACTTTACGTGTTGTTTTAGGTATGTTGGTTATGTGCATAAGATGATATATATATATATATATATATATATATATATATATAAAATGAACTTTTTGGTTAGATTTAGCACAACAGTGCTGTTTTACGATTTGTAAGGCGGTGTTGTATTCCTTGATCGCCGCGTGCATCGCTAGAGTCGGTGACCAACACTTCATTTGACATTTTAACACAGATCAGTGCTACTGTATAAATACTAGTACTGTTATTTTACGGCAACTCGTCATTCCAGGGGCGGTACCTGGAAATATTAACTCGCGCGCGCTCGTATGTGTGTGTGTGATTTCAATTCGGACGAATATTTTTGAAATATTTTATATATATATATATATATATTCACAAAGGAAATATTCCTTTTGGTGTGATGCCATAAAAAAAATGGTATTTGATGTGAAAAAGTTTTTGTAATAAAAAAAACGTTGACTAGTGTGAAGAAGCATGATCTTCCTTGGTATGTAATGTGCAATGGTGGCAGTGACATGTCCCCATGCTCACCAACAAACGCAGTTTTACACTTGTTTTATGGAATGTCCCATTCACGGATACTCCAAGCTTATGTGCTTCAGTGTTCTTCGATTTTCATCGATTACACATTTCAAAACTCGAAAAGGAAGTTCTGCTGTGCTGATCCTTTAGTGAAGTATCTACAGATTTCCAACATGCCTTATCGGCCAAATTGTTTCTCGTTTCGGACCACACTGTAGGCTGCTTAATGACTTCACCCCACAACTTAACTAACTCTTCCAACGACGATCAGATCCTCCCATGACAAATAGGGGGAAAAGGATTAATATTTCAATCGTAAGTTCCTCCATTATTCGGATCCGAAGAACGCTGAATGATTGTTTTTAATAAAGTTCAAGGCACTGAAAGACTTCAAGTCACTCTCAAAAAAATTCTTGAATCCTTGTGATGACAAATATTTAATTTGGAGTTCAAAAAGCATTTCCTAAGAAAGTAAAAACACATTTCTAAAATCTCTCGGAAAGCGTATTTTTTTTGCCTATTGCGCAAAAAAGTTATCGCAGAAAAGAGGGAAGTTTACTTTTAAAGCTTCCCGTACCTCATAGTAGATGGAAATAAAGTTTGACAAATATCCGAGTCACAATGGCAAATGATGTTTATGGAAATTAACCACATAGCATTCTAATATGTATTCAGAAAGGCTAGATAATACTTCATGTAAACTGCTCAAGTTTACTAACAAATACTTAAACGTATTGTGAGGTTATTATACATCAACAACACAATTAAAATGCATACAAATGATTGGAGAGAGTCTGTAACGAGGTGCACTGTAGATTTAACTCCTTAATCGACTCTCTAAATGTAAATAACACTTAATAAATGTAGATCAGTCGTATAATATTCGATATTATCTTTACACTTGCGCTTCCGGACACATCGTTGGCAGCCGAGCTTCTGCGAGCCTTTGTCGTTTTCTAAAATGCCAGTTAATAAGCACTAAAATTCTGTGCCCACATCACTGTCTTTCTTTCAGAGCATCACGGAAACCACATTGTTTACAGCACAATACGCCCACGATTTCCTGCAGTCATTGCCATATGAAGATTTACATTCAATTGTACCGCGAAATTCGGACACACGAAACAAAACAAACTCGATTTGCAATATTCGCAAATCATTTGAAGAATCAACTGAGTTTCACAAAATTGGTCAAGCTTTCATGACTAGATGTAATTGGGGTACCAACAAGTGGATAACAATGTTGGCATTATTGTTCTGCATCATATGACCGTGGAGCCGGCGATATTTACTGGGTATATGGGCTGCGGTGGTTAATCAATGGTTTCCAGCTGTGCTCCAGCTGGTAAAAATTCGTGGATATCAACCTGTTTTCAACTGCACTCAACTGTTTGTACTAAGGGCGTACAAGTCAAAATGAGATCTGTTTACATCAGCTTCTTTGTAATTGATGGTTGTGCGATATTTGCAAACTTTTGTGCCTCAGTTTTGATTGTTATTTGTGATCTTAGCTATGCATGACAAGGAACCGATAAATATTATTAATTGTTGTTTATGTTACAATGTCGTGGCGGCCGCGATAATTTTGTGAAACAGGATTGTAATTTCTCTTCTGCTCCGCCTATATTCAGGTATGTTTTTGGAATTTTTATTAATTAATAATTATATTAAAATGTGTGAAATGTGAGTTTCTTAGTGCAAAACAAAGTACCCCAAGTGCGCGTTGAAAGGGAGTTCAGTATTGGGGTCTTAACCTCAATGTTATTGCTAGAAACGCTTTACGGTCTTTATTGTTTTGGGAAATAGGAAAGTTCATCTTGCTCTTCTTGTGCTGTTCGTTATCATCGTTATTTTCTCATATGTTTTTGGATTTGAGTGAGAAAGGTACATTACTTTTGAGAAATTTGTTAAAAGAAAGGATGACATTGTGAGCAAATGTGATGTACAAAATTTGTTAGGTAATTGATTTAATCTGGCAGAGATTGATTTAACCCAGGGGAGTTATTATGATTCATAATATGTGGTTTTCACTTTTGAGATAATGTAAATTGTGCCATTCAAGTGCCCTTATCATATTATTGTAAAAAATTAATTTCTTCCCAAACATGATAAGTACATGTATTAATTGTTGAAGTTCAATATTAATGCTTTTCATTGTATAACTTTATAGATTGTGGTGTAAATTTGCATTATAGTTTAAAAAAAGAAGAAAAAAATATAGATATATGTTTTATTCTGATGAAAGTGGTAGTAACAAAAACATGCAGTAAACTTTCATTCTGATATTAATAAACAGTGAAGAAGCAAATGTGTCTCTATATTTAAAATACAATATTATTGATTAAGATCTAAGAGGCCTTTGGTGATTTTTTCTGAATTGCTTGTAACCTTATCACTGAGTAGCTTTCAAGTTATTCTGTTTGCAGATACTACAAATCATCTTTCCAGATCATTGTAAGATCATCTAAATTATAAAATATCAGAAGTTTCAAATAGGTTTCATGATTATATGTTAATATTTTACAAAGAAGAATCCTTCCATGCAGTTTAGCATTTCAAATAAGTAATTTCATAATCGAAATGAAATGGAAATGCAAATGATTGGGAAATGTATAGCAACTATTTTGGATTTGTCTGTTCAGTTTAATGTCAAATGAAATGTCTGTGTACTGAATGAATTGCACACAAAGTTCATGATGTTAATGTTCAAAATGCTTTCAAGATTTTTTATTCTTTACTCAGTAAGTTTTGTGAATCTACATTCATGCATGACAGAAACGTAAGGGAATTCTGAGGCAATACATCATGTAGTGTACTGCCTTTTGTATTTCAGAGATAAAGGCCATAAATACAAAACCAATGGCATTTTATAACAACAGAAAAAAGCCAAGATTTTTGGGGGGAAGGGGGAGCTACTGGTAGAGTAACCAGGCAACTTTGTTTTTTCATAAAGAACTTTTCATTTATGATTTTTTTAAAATACGTATTTGCACTTGTTGACGTACATTTAGTGTTTAGTTATAACAATTGGTGTATGACTTTAGTTTGTATAAAAAATTAATAAAAGCTATATTTTTGAGTACGTATTATTGGCTTGGAATGGGTAGGCGGAAGGAGGAGGAGGGGGCTGCAGCCCTCCTCTTTGAGTGTGCCACTGAATAAGAATATCGAAATTGTAACCTGTTTAAAAATACATTGGTGGCATTTTGTTGGGCATACCAGCAGAACGAGGAAATGTTAAAAATCGGTCTGGGGGAGTTAGAACTAAACCGAGCAAAGTATAGTGGTGAGTATATTGTGGCAGATTTAAAGTTCTAAAAGGTAGAGAAATTATTGCAAAATGTTAAAATTCATGAGTAAATAAAAATGGAGATAGATATTGCAAAACTCCATCAGAACTGAGGTGCCACCATTGTAAATCATTAGAGGCCTAGTTGACGACAATTTTTTTCTTGATATCTTTATTTTCTAAATTACTAGCTACATGAATAAAGACATGTATATGTACATGAATAATAGTATATAGTAAAAGAAGAATCCAGATTATTCTGTTTGCTACTTGCAAAATAAGACATTAGAACAATACAACATGTAACAAAACAAAATATGACATTAACCAGAAACATTACAAAGAGTTTCATACACTTGGTCAGAGGCGCATCCAGAATTTTTCTCAGGGAGGGGAAACTACAAGTAGTGGCCAATTGACGTATGTTTCCTTGTAAAGAATTTTTTAAATTTCTAATGTCTGTCGGTAATTATTAAGTTTACTTGTTCCTGATTTTTATTGACAGCCAAAATTAAATTGAAGCACAGTTTAATTATACATATTACACATTTAATTAAACTCCCCTTTTTCTCTTTATATACAATTCATTGTTCTTACACCGTTTTAGAGTCAGTTCTTCTCCATCTTCAGGTACTTTGATGTTTTTTATTCCTTGATTATTCAAAAGTTAAGTTTAACTGACAACTTCAATGTGTTTCAACAGTGGTATGCTGTCTTCCGCATGCTTCAGTTGATGAGACATTTTGTGTTGATGTAGACATGGCATAATGTTATTTGTTGTCTTATAGTTGATTCATTCATTTATTTACTTCAATGTCAAAATTCAAATATTTTATTACCATTTTGAATGTTTTTGAGAGTAGATGTGTGGATGTTTAATTGAATTGTGAAGATCATGTCACCCATTACATAAAAATCGAAAAATAAGTGTGTCACTTTGTTCATTTTGTTAGTTTCTTTAGCTTGCGTGTAGATTTTAATTACGAGTATTTCAAATACATTTGGCGGTATTTCTGTTCCTTTATCTTACACAACTGAATCATTATTGTGTACGAGGTGAGCAATAACTTGTATACAAGTTACAGAAAGAGCAGGCAAAAACTTATGTATTTTACTAATAAATACTTTTTTAATTGTTTTAAAAATTATGATACAATTAAGTTAGCGATATGTGTAGAGATATAAATTATGGTACGATCTGGCAACACTGGCTAGGGACGAGCTTCAAGGCAACGGAAGTGAACAGCTAGGACGACGAAGTTCTCGGCCTGGCCGCGCTGTTGCAAGCAAGGGTATTTTCGTGGCCCACGATATTGTCGTATTTTATAATGACGTTGGTTGCAAGGAGCGGTGCCGAGCGCTGTACCGGCTTGTCGAGATACTTCAACGACTGAGCACTTTCGTTGAATTTGAAACGTATGCACACAATTCTTAATTACGTCCTTATTTTCCCCAGCCATGTCCTCTTTTTGAAGTAAGAAAAACTGTCCGGGTGGATTTGACAAGCAAGGACGATATATATATATATATATATATATATATATATATAATTGGAAAGGGGGCACTATTATTTTGAAATGTAATCTAGGCGTATGATGTACGAAAGATACTTTTCATCTTTTTTCGAGTCCCCGACATAACATTTCATTGTATAAATAAATGGCATTTAACTTTCGCTATCTTGCCTATCAACCATTAGAATCCATAGACAAGCTATATCTAGTGCTAAAATGCGAGTGCTGACATCAGTTGGTACAACAAATATGCTGGTGCTGGTTGTAGATACTATTCTCTGTGGTGTTAATACTATTTTGCTGACATGTGGAGTTAATATTGCTCAGTGATGTTTGTATTCCGAGAATGATACCAAAAAGAAAAGCCTTGTTTAATGGCATAGTTCAAAGTGTTTATTGCAAGGTTCAAAGCAAAGTTTTAATTGTTGATGGAGATTTCATTATCTTCCAAATACTTCTGGTAGAAATAAAAGTGGAAAAGAAAATAATGATAATGAACTAGGTATATTGTGTGATTGTGAAAATGATGACAAATAATTTAAGTATTTATTTCATCAGTAGTAAGTATTTTGCCTAAGGAAAATAAATTATTATATAAAAACATTTTATGTGAAGTGTCCTCTTTTTTTAATATGAAATGCCCTCTTTTTTCCATAAAGGAAGCATGGTAAGCCTACTCTTAATCATTTTGCAATTATTCTTACAGTTTTAAACAACCACGAAGATTATGATAAACATTAATCCTAGTTTTTTTTTAAAAAAACCTTTATGCTTTCACGAAATCAAGAAACAAACGAATGTCATTATGGTTGAAACGAACAAATTCAATGCCTGTCAATTAATTCTAATTCTATTGTACATCTATATATAAAACAAGGGCATGTGCGTATGTCTGTCACATACGGACGTAAAAACTACTCGCCCCATTTCGCTGAAATTTTTACACGTTGTTCGTATTAATACCGTGGTTTGTATTGAATCGGGAGCGCTTTTTTGCAAAGTTAATCGATGATCGATCGGCGAATCTGTTGGCTTCTCGCTGCTCCCGGGGTGGAAAGAGGTGGCCGGGCATCTCCGGCACACCGATTTTTGCTTATTCTGCGCAGCTCCAGTTTGCGTTACGAACCAAACGTCTGCACGGGCACTATGTTTGAAAAGCAAGACAGACGGTGGCCGCCATGGTGCATGGAGGGCCCCCATCACCACCATATCACTTCATTTAATACACAGATTCCGCAAACGTTAATCTATAGTGGTCGCTAATGACCTCGAAGTTAATGCAATCATTAATTTAAAAAAAAGTATTACTATAATATAGAAAACATCGCAAAAATAATATACGTAAGTCTCAAGTACTTTAATTTGTAGTTTAGATTTGTTTATAAAGTGAGGAATGTTTGGGTGCTGTAACTCCCAATAAGAAATATGTAACTTTTTAAAGTGGGAAAGTGAGTAAGGTAGACCGGAAATTTGCAAATAGGAGCAAGACAAGACAGCTGGGCGGGGCAGGCCGGAGCTGGCATACAATGGGATAGAAGTAGGTCCCACCCAACGAGCTAGACTATACTGAATAGAGTGGCTGAAGCGCCTTCACCATTGAAGCAAATTCAAGCCATGTTTCTTGCAGTCAAAGCAGCGCTCTCTGGAAAATTAAGTATTCTAGCATAACGTTTCGCGCTCATTACGGACTTACGGCATTACGGTATTACGGTGAGTGTGGACTGCACGTAATATAAATCCTCTTATTGTATGTTCTCTCGATCAACAACCAATTATTTAAAAACGGAATAACAATATGTTAGGAGAACAAATTGAGAAACTTTCTGCATTAATTGTCATAAGAATGGAAGCTACTGAAATGTTATTGTAGTTAGCATAAAGCTTGAGAGTGAATGTTATTGTAATACCGTTAAACGAAAAACAATAAAGAAATAAGGTATGATACGAACAACACCACGTCGATTCCGTAAAGCTGTTGAATGCAACGCCATTCGTATGTTTTGACTTAAAAAAAAAAAAAAAAAAACAAACATGGCGGCCACTAGTTTGGCGAGTCTCCACCAAGGGCGCTGAAACTATAGGGACAGCCACACTATATAGTATATTCTAGCTCGTTGGCCCCGCCGCAAGTATAAATGGAATTCCTCTTGCTGACTAATAATTTACTGTCAAAAATGCCCTGGCAATGCCGGGTACTTCATCTAGTATCGAATAAATCGAAGTTTCTATCTATACCTTTTCAACTGCACCATCTGTAATATGAATTAATCGACCACATTGCTCTCTGTGGCCACAATGAGTAATTCTTGAGCATTAAAGCAGCCAAGTGCACGGTACTCAATCTACTATTTGGACAGCCAATGTAGATATTAACCTCCATGACATCACCCTGATGACATGAATAGACGCACGCTAATTGTGCGCCTATTTGAAGTAAAATAGCGTGTGCTGGTAAGAATCTATTGGCAATTATAAAAAACAAACATTTTTGTTTATAGTATTCGTAAAATATATTCTGAAAACAATTTTACGTAATCATAGACCAATACAACTCCGGTATTGAAGAAAATCTGGTATTGCAGACATTACATTACTGTGAGATGTACACACATTACATTATTGAAACAACTCTTGAAATACAAACATACGTATCTGGGTTAATGCAATTATCATGTATCTCCAACTTTTCAATTACAACACAAAACACATCTATTTTTTTATGTGGTACAATTGGCGTATATGATTTTATATCAACATAAAAAAATACTTGCTCATTGGATCAGATGTACTTTGTCTTTAGAAACATTTTTTGTCATTACTGTAACACTATTAATACACCAAATAAACAAGTTACAAATAGATTGTCTCAAAGTGCCAATGTTTGATGTCTCTTGGATCCGAAACCAGGGCATTCCTTTATCCTGACATCTGTATCATTTGAATTATGAAATGAAATACAGCATTCATCACAATTTACATGCAAGAAAAATGCAATATATTAGCTTATTTGCACTTTGTAATAATCCATGTTGAATAGTTTAAAAAATGATAATTTAGTGTGACCTAATATTTAATTCAGTATCAAAAGAAGTCCATTTGGAATTTGTACGGATTTCATAGCAATAACATATATTTTTTTAAACATTTTATCAAGCCTGATAAGATGTTTTTAAATGTGTAATTATTGAATTACATAGGCGTACAAAACCCATTATTTTAGCACCACCATTAAAAATTCTTACAAATATACCGGAATTCCTTCCACATTATTGTAGGTACGGGAATATATTCTAATATATTTATTCATCCAGCAACATGTCATTTGGACATCACGGTTCTTTATCTTCTTCCAAATATGCAGTTTAGTTTCGTAAAGATACATATCCCAATACGAATATAACTTGTTAGTTTAAAATGCATGTCCCTTTTTCTAATTCATCAAATTTTCATTCAAATCAAGCAAAATTTGTAGGCTTAAATTCAATAAGGGCGGCAAATAAGTACACATTTATTGTGGAAAGTTAATGACAATTTTTGTATAAGAGAAACATTTCTTCACGATATGCGACAGGCATTCGCACATTCCCTTGTATTTATATATAGATGTAGAATATATTTATAATTAATCGCGACCGTATCGATCAGTGCTGGCGATCATGCGACATGTACCGACACGACGGAGAAAGACGACAAATACCGTGAGATATTCCATCGTGAAGACCGGAAATAAAACCCAAGTATAGCAGCACGACCGAAAAAGACGCGAAATACTGTGAGATATTCCATCGTGAAGACAAGGCCTCGCGCGCCAAGAAATAAATACCTAAGTATAGATGTAAATGAATGAGGATGAACCTGACGCTGAAGTGAGCGGAAAAAAATCACTTGACATATTTAGCGGAAAAGTCGCAGACCATCTGTTACACCCGCCGCAAACACAAATACACTAAACGTTTACACCCTCAAAGCAAATTACACTTGGCATACAAAAACTGACGTGGGCACCTAAGACAACATACTCAGGCGTCACTTTTGATCGAAGGATGCGCTGGCATTTACATGTCAGGCGAATTCGATCAAAATTACAGCAAAGAGGTCGACTCTTTCAACCTCTTTTGAGGGAACCTACACTCCCCTTGGAACTTCGCTTGGCACTTTATAAAACGTGTTGCCGGCCTGTGGCCACCTACGCTGCGGCAACTTGGTGGACCGCAGCACAGAAGTACAAGGATACACTTGAGCTAGTACAGAACAAAGTTCTATGGCTCATAGCACGCCTTCCGTTTCGGAAACGGTTGAAAGTACTGAGGAAGGAACTTGATAACGAGCCCTTCACTGAATGCTTGAGAAGGCTTTCGTTTAACGAAGCCTATCAAGCCTTTCAAACCAACGAAGCTCCGGCAACGTTAAAACAATTAGCTCGACACGTCCTCACTATAGGACAAAGAAAACACTTACTCCCCTCTGATATTGTAAGGGCATAGTGCAACACAAAAGCCGATTTGGCTATTGACTAAGGTCCGACACGAACCCTCACCAGCCACTTACACGTAGCAGTAAAACGCGAAATGCGTGCGAACTGCAGCACTAGTACACAAACCTTCGGTAAAGTCGGAAAAAAAAAAAAAAAAAAAAAAAAAAAAAAAAAAAAAAAAAAAAAAAAAAAAAAAAAGATCAGACTGCGAAGTAAACTCAATATACGTGATAACAATAAACTAAATTGTTGTTTCCATAGCGCAGGCAAATGCATTTTTTATGAATTTTATAAAACTTTCAAATGCAACAAGAGCAATTTATTTCCCATTCAACTACTGTATCTCATTATCGTTACAATATCTCACTTTCCCAGTCCAGAAGGACACGTGACGAAATATTTCTTTATCCTGCCGAACACCGTTGGTGAATCCTGGAGCTCAACATTTCGTCATCGTGATCTGCAACACTTGATATGAACTTTTCTTGAATGATGACCTTGCTTCCCCTTCTCTGACACAAAAACAGTTGAAGACAAAAGCTCCCAGAGTGCACTGATAACATTCCAAACAATCTTTACTGGCGCGAATTAGGAAACATTTTTTGTTGAAGACGAGAACTACTGTCCGAGATTTACTCCCAAAAGAATCTAAAGAAACAAGCGAAGCAGGTTGACTATCCATCACAGGAGATACCTCGAACTCCTGAGAAAGAACGCAAATTATTGAGAAAGTTGCGAAGGCAAGACTGATTCTCCAGAGATTGGCATTGCTTCATAAAATCGAGTGGCCAATTTTCTAACTAATACCCCCACTCTACCCGAATTTCTTCAATCCATCGTCCCAGAAAAGTTGCGCGAGTAATAACTAGTACACCACCAAACATCATTCGCGAACTAAATGCCACAAACAAACGCGTTGCCATGTGCAACACCCTCTCCCCACCAGAAAAAAATGAATGTTAGAAGTTTTGTAAGCTGCTTCCCGACGACCAAATTATTATTCGCGCAAGTTTTCTTGATACACGAGCACCCTCGCCCTCAACCAACATGAATAGCTCGGCACGTTGAGATTCATAGATTTGACTCGGAACGGCCCGTACCAATTTAAAATGCTGGCAACAACCACCTATTACGTTCAAAACAATTCGCATATCTCGTGGCACGCTTTGGGGTGTTATGTTCATGCCCACAGTAGTTACACTCTTAAGTCGTGACCTAGCCAGAGCCCTCCTCCCCCCCCCCCGGAAATATCAAGAAAACTTGCGCGTGTAGTACCTAAGTAACGTTTGAAATTACGCGTGAACCTTAAAATAAATGCCGCCACATGGAAACGAGGCTAGCGAATCCTCTATTATCTCAAACAGCGAGAATTTCCCCTCCTATTATTGTATTCGTCCATGCACTGCGCTTCAGACACCAGTTTGCGACACAATTTCTACGAGAATTTTAAATGCACCCACAAACCAAAATTATCACTTTGTCATTGAAACACATACATGAGGAATTTATTTGAAATATTGCTTCTTGTACACCTTCACCGTGTGTTTTTTGTTGGTCACCGTTGAAAATTGAAACTATGCCACTTTTAAAATGTTTCTCAACTTCTCGATCTTCATGCAACATGGCAGCCAGCGTCTGGTCTGGTTTTCAAATGAAGTGCCCGTGCTGTCTTGAGCGCGCCAGGTTTAAAATTCACACTAATTCCAAAGAGAGCTTATAATTGCGTTATTTGAGGTTAGGCGCCACATTTGATTTTTTTGAGGCGCTTGTGTTGACAACCTGCCTCCAATAGTTCTACAGAATATTTCAGTTATCTTGCTATTTAGGATGTCTGTGTGTTTTTATTATTTATGCAAATATGTTACAGACACTATGGCACGAAAGAGACGATTGACATTGGATTCTGAGAGAAAGAGGAGAAGAAACGAAATGTTACCACGTCCTCGTCCTGAACAACAGCTGGGAAACATTGCTTCCTGTTATGAAGGTAACTTCTATTTTTAAGAGGAACTGAATAGGTTAAGGAACAGGATTCCGAAATCTCAGTTTACGCTCGTCTTGAAAAGTTGAGGTATTTCGTCTAGGACAGACCTCTGCACACCGCATTCGCGGCTCCCCGGCCCTAGCTGCTCTGTACTACCACCTTCCGTTACACTTCTATTTCTTTTAACATGGCGCCTCAAGGACATGCGCGAAAAAGGGAGAAGGTAAGCAGACTCCAATAGGGAGCCGCGAAAGTGGGTGACGTCGCAGCTCCCTATTGGAGTCTGCCTTACCTCTCCCTTTTTCGTGCGCGACCTTAAGACGACACTTCTCAAGGTCAATGTCTCAACGCAAATAAATCCGCGCGGTTAATTCCCAGGTACCTTTGCATAAAGTATGAATCTCGTATTACCATTGCTCGATAACTGAGGGTTAGTTATCCTCCATTTCAGATTTTTTAAGTTGTTTTTTCCATGGATTTTATTTTTTTTAAATGGGTTTTATTATAAAACTCGGTGTTTTTTTGGGGTGGGGAAGGATTGTGCCAAACCTCTTTGCAATACTTTCTACTTGTAAAAAAACATTCATAGAGAGCGGCAGTTTGAATTAGATGTTATTTTTTTCGTGCGATATTCGTTTCTTTTCATGTTTGTAAATGTGCTTTTACCAAATCACTTCGATTACATAGTGTACAAAGATGATGTTGGGAATTAGAAAAACGAATATCAATATGGTTGTGATTTCATATACAGTTGTCCCACCTACTGCTTGCCACCCCTATTACGTCATAACAGTTCACGATTCCGGATTGCAGTTTTCGCTCAACAATCCGGAATTATGTGGAATGTAATATGGTGTAGAGCCATTGTTCTTTAATATTTTTCATTTTCGATTTTCATCATTGTCATGAACTGTAGGTGCTTAGGCTTAACAGCCTGTTCCATTATTTCTGCAGTATTCCTGGTACTTCATCTTCCATGTAATCCTGCTGTTGCCACTTCTTTCGTGGACTTACAAAGTATCTCTTCCCTGCTACTTTATATGTCCATATTAATTTTAGCCATCTGTTATTGTTAATTCTTTTAAGGTGATCTTGCCATTTTCTTTGAATTTTCTGTTTTCTCTACTAAGTCTTAAGTTTTTAGTTTGATAAATACTAGCTCATATCGTCGATCAATACATCATAACTTTACTTAATTTGTATTACTTTATTGAAATGACGGACGTGAGGGATTAGATAGAACGAAGAATACATGTAATTCCTAGCCTTCACAATTGTTTCACCCTTGCCGCACGCTGCTCATCTTGTTTTGTTGAAAGAAATTTATCCTTAGAATCTTTTTTGGCGTACTTCATGGAATATGGCGTTAGTTTTTCTATCAACATCGCTCCAATTTCGATTCTCAATTTTGAGTTACCGTTCTGTGATTGGTTCACTTCTTATGTCTTACTTAAGCATCAACACGGAAGCTTGAAACTTGCAAGCTTTAAAGTAAACGTTTTACATGTTATGCTTATGCGAACGCATTGTGGATGAGTCCGATTATGGACGTAGTCCTAACTTTTGTTAACCCCATGCTTATGTTTATGTTTGCATTGTGAATGGGCCTTTATTGACAGACCTTCGTAACAAAAAGGAGGTAAATCACTTCCTCTAATACGTGCCGTAGCCAGCATCCGTTTTGTGGATCCTTCATATCGAAAAATCGATTAACGGCAAAACGTCTTTCTGTCAGTCCGTCTATGGACAACGTTAGCGCCTACACTGTTAAGCCGGTTTTCTCCAAAATTAATATACCCCGATGGATCTGCATGAACTCGATGTTTTGGGAGTTTCCAGCGGATATTTTGATTTTTGAGGGTACTTTACATCGAGCCTCAAAAACATTTTGAACATTTTCTCAAAAATGGCACCAATTTGTTTTACTAAACGTTCTCCGATAGCGTAAAAAAACACTTCAGATGATGCATTTTTTCTTCAAACATAAATGAGAGATTCTCTTTAATAAATATGAAGTATTAACGTCTAATTTAAACTAAAATCGTACTTCACATTCTAGAATAATAATTTTTATATCTCTCTTTAAGAAGTGATGTTTGGAATATGCCAATACGAATTCCACTTTGGGAGATCATTACACTCCTGAAAAATTTCAGATGTTCCTTTATTACAATATATACCATGGTAGTGAAAGTTTCGAAATAAAATATCTCATTGCGGAACTAGTGCAAACACTCGTGTGCCACTGGAAATAAAAGCAAGAGCCGTGTGCACGGGAGGAGAATATGCCTGACACGGACATTACGTATAACATTATGTAACTAGATTTAGACTTATTCAGTCAAAAAACAGTAAAAACTATGTGACGTAGGGGGGAGATGATTATCCGCGCACGTTTTCTTGAGTTCTAGAATCCCTTCCCGCCATTTTAACTATAAATAGTCGAAAGATGAGTGAAAGTTTAACATAAATAAAAATAAATTTTTAAAATAGCAAGATTAGCAATATTTGAAAAAGAGTCATTTTCGTTTCCGAGTTATAGACTACTTATTTGCATCGGTACACGAATTGCAAGTATGATTTTTCTGCATTGCTAACAAAATAGTAACTCGACCCTTACCTCTACTCTTACCATTACAAGCAAAAGGAGAGTTCAACAAAACGTGCGCTTAGTGAAGCTACATTTACGTCCAGAAGCATCTCAGCTTTTGCTCAATGGATCATTATTGTAATCATCAAGTAATGTTTCAATATAGACTTATTTAACTTTGTTTTGATTAATTTTAATGAATTGCTTACGTTTTATTACATTCCCGTCATTCGATGGAGTTGCAACCCCCAGTTTGCAGGGGCATCAACCGCCACTGCCGGAAACACAAAATAATCAGTCATTGAAGAAGCCGCTTAGATCTACGAACCCATCGGCACGCGTGCTGATGTAAAACAAGCGTGTGATGTTTTGTGAATAGAAAGTTAGCAAACATCGATGTTCGAAATACATCGACGAAAAACCATCGATGCTTTTAGACACGTTTAGTATTCTCTAACACATAATTCCCGTGCAATAAAATTTAGTGTGACAGTGTTCGTGTTTATCAATAAGCCGAATAAGGGTATGATAAGAAGGTGCCGACCCAACGCTCACAGTGTGCTTGTTGGCCATATCTCAACATGCAAAATGAATAGGAAGAGGAAATACAATGGCAGAGAGGTCATCACGAGCTAGAGAGTTTGGTCGTTGTAGGTAGTGCAACCAGCATTCCTTTTGTTCCAACACCTGAATAACATTGTTACTACAAGTTATTTCATATTTTTACTGTATTGTGATCACAATAATGTTTTTATTTACGAACAAAACATCGGGGGAAAATAAATTTTAATAAAACATCGGTGTTAATACATCGATGTTTCTACAAAAACATCAACGTCGATATCGCATACCAGTTGGGATGTGAAGGTGTTTGTTTCGGGTTTGAGGGAGAACGGGTAGTTTTTTTGTTTAGAAAGTATCGTGTGCAGAGGAACATGTTTACCCAGTAATGTGGACGATTAAGTCAGTAATTGTTTCGAAAATAATAGTAAAATAGTGGAACGAGTAGGCCGAGTTGGAATATCGTTTGCTGTTGGAAGGTAGATGGAACCTTGTGTAACGTATTAGCCAGCGTGCCTCATGGCATCTATTTGGGGACGCTTGGTTGCGGATTAGTCTCGCCACAGGAAGAAGGGTTTTTCCGTAAAGGGAAGAACGCGGAGACGGGAGACACAAGGCTTTGGGTGTCTTCCGGCTTATAGAAGCTTTTCACTGTTATAACAAGCGAGGGGGTGGCGTGACGTAGTAGGTCACGTGGGCCTCGCCTATATAACTGAGTGTACAGAGCCAGTAGGTAGGTTCTGGAGACAGTGGGAGAACCTCGTGCGTGTGCACAAAACTTGGCGCCAAGACGGTGCATATGCGAGCCAGGCTCGCGAGGCTGGAGTCATTAGTTGACGAAGCCTGCGGACTTTATGTCCTTGGGTGACTGCGGTCACGGGGGAGCGATGCTGTGTGCGTGCTCCGAGGTGAAGAGTGGTTGAGTGCCACGATTCACGCCGATTCTCAATCAGATAAGATCGCTCCTGCGATCGAGGCAAACCAGCCGTTGGTGCGCCAGAACGGACTTGGTGTCCCAGCGTGACATCCGGTCACGGAAGCTAGGCTTTGTGCGCGCTTCAAAAGTAGGAGTGGCGAATGCCACAATCAAAACAATCTTCAATCGGGTTTTGGATCGCTCCCGCGATCAGGGGATAGTAGGTCTATCAGAGCTAGGGTGTAAGTAGATTATTAAGTGTATATATTTGTTTTGTTTTCTTGTTAATAAATATATTTGTTATATGAAAGCTCTGTGTCTGTGGTCGCTGTGAGTATCCATGACGTCACACTTGTCACCGTATTCGTATTACTAGCACGACCTTGCTTCCCTCTCTCTGACACAATAAACAGTTGAAGGCAAAAGCTCGCAGCGAGCACTGATGACATCTTTCCAAACACATCTTCACTGGCGCGAAATAGAAACAATTTTATTTTGAAGACGAGAAATTCTGACCGTGATTTTCTTCAAATAAATAAATAAATCACCAAAGCAGGTGAAGATTCATCACAGGAGATACCTCAAACTCCTGAGAAAGAACGCAATTTGTTGAGAAAGTTGCGAAGGCATCTGATTCTCCAGAGATGGACATTGGTTCATAAAATCTAGTGGCCGAACTAATACCCCCCATTGTACCCGCATTTCTGTAACCCATCGTTCAAGAAAAGTTGCGCGAGTAATATCAATACTATAGCTCACTAGGCTTTTCCTTTCCTTTTTTGGGGGGGGGGAGGGGGGCTAGTTTGGGATTCACCCGCACAGTTAGTGATCCTGGAAGAAACAACGTAACGCTATCGGCAGGTGCACCAATCTTTAATTAACGCCGTCTTGCTTACGAAGGCCCGAGTACGGCAAGTTAGTGATTGAGCGTTGCTTACGACCGAAGGACGCCTCTCTTTTTTTCCCACGGAACCTGCCAACCAGAGAGTAAAATCGGGTCGCGACAGGTCCCTGAGTAGCCACGACTGGAAGCATGAGCATGGAGTGCCCCCTTTCCCCCCTCGCGTCGTTTCTGTCTTGGCTGCGCGCGCATGCTGTTCTGGTTTTTGCGTTTAACGTTGCGTTCAACTGAAGTGGAAAGGCTTGTGAATGAGGCAGTAACCAATTCAACAGCGGCAGAACGCCAAAATGACATTGAACATACCGAGAAACGGATTCGTGGGAGAAGGAAATCGTGGTAGAAAATAACGGTGAAGAACTCATTATTAAGAGAGTTCGAGTAGCTCGTACTCGTGGTGATCGTACAGACATAGCATATTATAGTGACTCGGGTATGAGCAGCATATTTCCCATCATCAAATAAATTAGTGTAATTTGGTGTGTGAATAACTGTTAGAATGCAATGTAGGCCGTAACATTTATTGAAGTTAGTGAAGAACGTAATGTATAGGCCTTCTTGAACAAACTGCTGCTACATACAATGCGAGTTTCTGATTTTGTTACTTTTATAAGTATTTATTTCAAGTGCTTATTTTCGTGTCATGGGAACACGTGGTGAGTGGTACGCGACCTGGCAATGTCGCTCCCCTCCACTCGCAGCTGTGAACCACTTTCATTTAATCAGACTATACAATTAATTAATTGTGGAGTTGCATTTGTAAGATGTGGTTGAGAATTCAAAAAATCTTGATCTTTTTATATTCTTAAGATTTCAAGGGTAAGTCATTGAAGAACTAAAATTACGTAGAATCAACGTTTTAACCATTTATGTGACATGTATCGAAACACATTTGATATGCACCAACTGAAATCGTACTTTTCCAGCTTACACATAAATAACCATGCGGGTGTCCAAAGGGGCATACTGTTCTGCAGTTAACTGCAGCAACAATAAAGGAAGGAACCCTGATTTATGTTTTTTTACTTTTCCAAAAGACCCAGAAAGGTAAGGCGGAAAGTTGAACACGACAGAATTATTGCCTTAGTTAAACATATTATTTCAGAGTTTCATGAAATGTTGTATATTTGCAGATGTAGGAAATGGGTAATCAACTCCAAGAGGGAAGATCTCCTGCAGAAAACCAGTGATTATACACATAGAAATTGTAGATTATGTAGTAATCACTTTGAAGATAGTCAATTCATGAACTCGATTAAGAATTCATTAATTAAAACTGCAATTCCAACCCTCTTTTCAATATCTAACTTGCCAAAGCAAATTTTCCCGAAAACAACACCAGCGGCATCAATGGATAAATGTTTATCTAAAAGAAACAAATTGAAAGGTAGATGAAAGTACTTATATTTTCATTTTCTTTTCTTATTTAAAGTTTTTGTTCTTGCCCAACTTTATGTATTATTTTCTTTGATAACTCGTATTGATTACTTTTTTAGTTGGCTTGTATACAAAACACAATGAAAAGTTTCACATTTCCATTTATTTAATTCTTCACTTTTCGACAACTTTCATACATTGTCATCTTCAGGCTATGAAATAAATTACGTACAACAATTAGTAAAAATGAGAACTAATTACATTCCTAAATATTACAAAATGATTTCCTTACTGTCCTTTTGAATAATAATATATCAAAATTAACACTCAGACTATTTAAATGGGTTTAATTCAGCGGCCACAACTGTGGACAACATTGATACAAATTTTCGTTTCTTTTAATTCATGATAGTTATTTAATAAATCTACACGGAAACAACAAAAGACCATTAATTGCCAATAACAGTACTCTAATTAAATTTAAACAATCAATTAAGTTGAAACTCGTTCAAAATCAAATCTTTCTGTCGTATACAAACCACCTTTGTTTCGTCTCTTAACCAGTGTTATAAATAATAGATCGATGAAAGAAATCGTTAGGTTTGAAATTAAGTGGAGGAATAGTGCAGGGTGATTTCAAATTGTAACGAGAGGAGGTCCCAAGTTTAACAAATGAAAAAAAAAATAAATAAATAAGTTGCGACCGAAAAGAAAGAAAAAAAACACGTTTGTTGGGTGTACATACACACAATTTTCTTCCACGTCTCTTGAGGGGAGGCGTTGAGCGCTTTGCGCTTTTGCAATAATCCTCCATTAACAACAGCACGGGTGTAATCTTAATTTTGTTAAGTTTACACAACAAAATTAAGTAATTCTTATCTTTGTCCGTCTCGTCTTAGTTGTCAAGAGGACCGTCAGGTAGCATCTCCGCGTACGTCTCTCTCTCTCTCTCTCTCGCGCGCGCGCGCTCGCTCTCGCTCGCTCTCTCTCTCTCTCTCTCTCTCTCTCTCTCTCTCTCTCGCTCTCTCTCTCTCTCTCTCTCGCTCGCTCTCGCTCTCTCTCTCGTGCTCCTGCACTATCCAGCGGGAAGGAATTAGGATAGGAGTAGGGTTTGGACCAGCCCTTATGAAGCAGCCAAATCGTTTTGTTGGAACAAATTTCACATGAGATTGTCCGGGAATCGAATCTGGTCGTCCTTGGTGAAAGGCGAGATATTTTTGTAATCATTTGTTGTTAAGTTGTAGTGTTTATATTTGTCGTAATATATTCATTTGGTCTACGTAATTTATTTCTTAGCCTGAAGATGGCAATATATGAAAGTTGTCGAAACGTGTTTGTGTGAAGAATTAAATAAACGGAATTGTAAAAATTTCATTGTGTTTTGTATACAAGCCAAATAAAAAAAAGGATCTATATGAGTTAGTAAAGACAATTCTTTGAGTTCATCTTCTTTTAATGTGATGTATATCTAAAACATTACAGAGTACGGTAAAGAAAATTTTAAGAGCAAGAAGTTTGTACCATATCCTAGTATCCACAATGCTTGTTCTTTGAGGAAAATGGCAATAAAAAAAACAGAAGTCGCTGTTAATGAAGTCAGAAGATTAAGAAGGCTTCGAAATGCAAAGTAAACGAACAGATTAAGAAACAAGTGTTTGAAATGAAAACAACAAAGAATAAAAGATGCGCGGAGAAAACATCCATTGAAGAATAACTTTTCGAGTGATTGCAACACTTGCAAATATAGCGAAGAAATAACTTCGAGATTCAACTCGTTTCATTGGACGGTTTTCTCTATCAAATTTTGAATTAGAAATAGTAAATTTGCTATGGGTGGAGTGATGAAAAAAAAAAGTTTGCTTTAAGGTTTCTGTGGAATAATTGCCGAGCAATTTGAACTTCATTAAAAACACTTCAGGGCTAGATACATAATTTAAAAGTCGAGCCAGGTATTCGTAACATCCTGGCTATTGTAAACGAATATGTGGAAACTCTCAAAAAAAAAAAAAAAAAAAAAAAAAAAAAAAAAAAAAAAAAAAAAAAAAAAAAAAAAAAAAAAAGAACGTTTAGTGGTCATGGCAGTGGATGAAATGTGTAAATGATATAATTATGTGGCATTGAACATTTTAGTCAGAGGAAGATCACAAACAGAATAACCGTGCACAGTAATGATTTCTGGTCTGACACCCAAATACAAACAGGCAATTGCCTATTGTTTTAATAATGGCGGTGCTGGCCTTTTTGGTAATTGTGGTAAAAATAAAGACTTTAATTTTTGGGGGAAAATTAGTGAAATTGAATTGCAACTTAAGGCTTTGGTTACTGGTGAAGGGTCAAATTTTCTAAAATTTCAGAAAGATATGAACGTGTCTAGAGAACAACAATTTATTGGAGAAGAAATCATAATTTTTATTTTCAGTGGCTCTCCTAATTTGTGGAGGAACAATTTAAACAAATACAATATATCATTTGCATTAGGAACTGGCAAAGAAGACATCCTGGCAGTAATTTTAAAGAAGTGTCTAATTTGGTTAGAAAGTATAACATTAAATTAATACCAAAAGCAATTCCAACTAGCGCTAAAAGCACATATTTTCTCACCCTTATATAGTAAGTTACGAAATATTATAATAAAATTTCTGTCCATATCAACGCGACTTGGTGCTAATTTTTTAAAACTCATTACAAATCCCAGAGCGTTGGGTAAGAAAACTAATTCTTTTCAAGCAAGAATCAACACAAATTCGACCATTAAATGCGTATTTTAGCCTTAAAAATACAAGTTAATACGATCCAGCTGGCGAAAGCAGCAAGCTCGGCGCTCTTGCATTGCGTTGTTGCCAGCGCAGAGTTGTGAAAGCAACAATGGGCAATTCGTCTGGCTTGTAAGCATGGTGAATATTTTCTTATCAATTTTTGCAATAAATGGAACTGTTTTGCAGTTTTCATTGCTGTGGCTTTTATAAAAGTTCTTATAAGCTGTTCTATCTTGTTTGATGGTCACTATTGCTTCTGTTTCGAACACAAGTTTATTTTTCGTCATGTCAAGTTCATTTACAAAATTTTAATTTTCTCTTAATAGAAAACACAAACAAACCAATCTATAAAATATATTCTCTTAGTAATTAATCTCTTCAAAGAGAAATTAAACGGTTATAGATAGCCCCGAAAATAGTATAACAGAACATTACTTTATAATTTACGTTATTTTATTAACCAAGTGTGTATATTTAAACTTCCACAGAACTTTAATTTGAACACTTAAATGTATAATTCTATTAATAGTTCTTGAATATGTGACAATCTTTATTTAAATAATTGTGTATCTTATTGGGAGATGTTTCTTTTGTAAAATTATATGAGTGCATTGAATACCTTTTATATTCCGGATCTCTTTTTAACGTCTTTTATGGATTTAATTTATAATGGACCCAATACAAATCAAAAAATATATCTCTACTTAATGATCCAGTGCCTCTGTTTCTTCAGATGGCGCTGAATTGTCATATTCATATTATAGTAATTGACAATAAATTAATAACGTCCATGAATATATGACTTCACTTACCTGCGTGTGTTTCCACCATGATGTACTTCGCAAATTGCAGAATGAACTCTGACCTGTAAATACCTTAACCAAAACCTCATGCAAACACCACTAGATACAGCGGAATAAATGTATTAAACGAAATTAATACGTATTTGAGAATTGAAATCCACAGTGCCCGCGTTTCAGATAATCTTATTGTCGCAAGAGAGGTCGGTAGCTACAGAGTCCGCTAAAACGTATCATTTCTGCTGCCAACTCGCCTTCAAAAACTGTTCCAACTTCGTACATTTGTATTTGAAAAAGTTTATACAATATGAAATAGTAAATGTACGAAAACTATTGTAAACAAATTTGTAGATACGATCGTTAAATATTACTCACTTCTTCTAGCTTGTCTTTTCACATTGTGTACGTTCGAAAAACGTGTAGATTTGTGGCAGTTTGTACAAAGTTTCAAACACTTAATGAAATCCAAGCGAATAAAAAAAATCTTCAAGGACATTATAATAAGTTCATCATTATTATAATACATTATTCATCATTCCTGTTTTACAAGAATAATCGTTATACATTTTTACACTAATATCTGAAATTTATGCGCAGGCTGGACAGAGCAACAACGCCTCCAATAAAGCGCGGGAAATTCAAATTTAACCTTTCTGACTTCAATTTTCGAAAATATAGAGAGTGCGCCGAAAGTGGAACCGTCGCCACTATATTTACAGTCCTTTGCTACATACGAGAGGAAAAAATTTAAAGAAGAAAAAAATTCTTTACGTTATTGATAAAATGAGCCCTTATTGAGAGAATAATTGTTGAAAATTTATAAATTGCCTGTTTGACGCAAAATTACGCAAAAAATACTATACAGACACGCACACTGACAGGCTTTTGCCGTCAATCGATTTTTCGATATCGAGGACCCACAAAACATGGATTCTGACTACGTAATGTGTTAGAGGAAGTAATTGACTAGGGACAAAATTTATCCTCTTTTTCATTGTCAGGCCCTTCTCTACACTGCGCAAAAAGTAGCGAGAATGTAAAAGCCATCGATCTGCTTCCTTTTTCTAAGATGAAAGTAAAATTGGCATGTTCAGTTTTAAGTCACTCCATGTCATCCCTGCTATTAAGCATCTTCTTAGTTCTGGTTCAATAGCTAGTCATTCTCATGGCTCTGCAGAATTCTGTGAAAGAATGAATACTGTACATGACCGTATTTCAAAATATTGTCTGTAAGGAACAGATTTCATTAAGGGAAAAATCTCTGTATTAATAATTGTAGTCGTAGGAAGACGCCAAACAAATTTTGAATTTTTGAAATAAAACAAAATATGAGTTTGTACTGAAATTGAGACCTGCACCATTCTCTTAAACGATCTTCACACTATCAAACAAAATAATTATTAAATAACCATGGCGCATATTTTTGAAAATGTTCCACGGGCTTCATGTTAAGTAACCCCCAAAATTAACATGTGTTTCGAATTCAAGAGGCCGCGACATCAGCCAAATTGGTTAGAAAACATCAATTTTGGAGGTCAGGGATTTGCTGTCAGGTTTGGATTTGCAGTCAGGTTTGGATTTGCAGTTGTCAAGAGGACCGCCAGGTACAATCTCCGCATACGCACTTCCTACCATGCGCTCCTGCGTCCCTGCCCAGCGGCCAGTATTGAGACGCAATTAGGATAGGGGTAGGATTTAGAACAGGTTGGACTAGCCCTTGTGAAGTAGCCAACCTCGTTTTGTTGGAACAAATTTCCCATGGGATTGTCCGGTATTCGACGGGGATCGAACCCGGGCCTTCTTGATAAAAGGCGACAGACTGAGAGACGTTTTGCCGTCGTTCGATTTTTCGATATCAAAGACCCACAAAACATTTATTCTGGCTACACCACTTGTTAGGGGACTCACCCCCCCCCCTAAATTTAGCAATTGGATGTATCCTCTTTCTCGTTACCAGGCCCTAAAATATAAGAGTTTTTCTGGCACAAAATTTTTTCGTGCAGCATTACATAACATTCTCTCTTAAATTTGCTTTATCTAGAGAAAGTAATAATATGCTGCTACGTTGTTAAGAGTTGCGGTAAAAATGAAAATAAATATAGATTGATCAGAATATTATAGAAAAGTGGTCGTCAAACTTGCGAAGTTTCAGAGGAAAATGCCGTTTTTAAAACCTACTGTGAGCTACCGAACGAAACCAAAACAGAAATGCAGAACTTCTTTTAAAAAATTTAAGAATTGTGAATTACGAATATCTATAAACATACAATTCAGTTATAAGAAATTTATTTTAATAAAAAAGATTCAAAATAGAAATTGGAAATTAAACTGTACTTTAAAAAAATAGTGTAGTAACCTAGTGTATAAGCTACGGTAGTAATAAATTAGAAATTGAGAAAAATATTTTTCATAAAATTTTAACGAGAAAGATGACTCTCCGTTTGGCAATCAGCAAGTATTTGAATGTTGAGAAAGTAATATCAATGAATAAATTAGAATCTCTACATTAGCAAATGTTTGGTATACACGTTAAAAACATGACGGATTTTATCCGCGCAGGTTTTCTTGAGCCCTCCTTTCGAGAAGATAAAATGGCTTCCTAATGAGGTTATATGAGAACTAGTTCCCTTCAGCTGTACTTGACAAACTAACATGATTACCAATCACAAAACAGCACTGGAATTACGTACAAGATAAAAAATTTTCAAAGATACACTGTGACAAAGGTGCAACAGCCTTAGTATGTTTGTGGGTACTACATTACGAAATATTGTTTCAAATAAACTAATTATTATAATAATGTAAAGTTAGGAAAACTATACTTAATAATTATTGTTTTAACCATTATTATCGACAACTTTAATTTATTATTATTTGTAAATTTAATTTGTGAATAGCAGGCTGTTGTTTTTGAAATCTTTGGTAGCAAATATCTCAGATATCCACATTGTTGTATAGAGTCTCCAGAAAGATCGCAGAAACTTGACTTCACATATGTTGTTAATTACAGGAAAATCATTGTATGGTTATTTATAAATTTAATTTGTGAAGACTAGTGACTGCTTTTTAAATGTTTGTAATCTGCCTTACATATTCTAATGAATTTGGTTTGAAACAGGTGCTCCTAAGATGGTCAAGAACACATTGAATAATGAGTCTGGAACTAGAAGGAAACAGAGTATCATCTGCAGAATAGATGATTCCCTGATATTAAAAAGAGGTAAATGTTAGTCTTAGAAGTAGACGAATTAAAACTTTTCCACTGTCAAGCTGTGAATATAGCTTTCTATGGAAAGGGCTTACAGTTCTTTGGGCCCTTTCCCGGATATAGTTGTATTTGAAAGACCATATTGTTTCGTATATTCCCCCGAAATATTTGTTTTTCGCAGTTTCACCATTTCAGGCTGCGCAGCACCGTTCACATATGTGTAAACTGCCCATAGTATATCTCGTGCGCGTTGTACGTTTATGTCGATTTGTGGTAGTCGATTTTAGTGGAGAAGAACTTGAAAAATGGATGTCAGTAGCAGAAAAAGGAAGATTTACTACAGCAATAAGTTCGGCGAAACAAGCCAAAAGGAACCGAGGAAGGGGTGGATATAAATAGTAATGGTCTTGAGGTTAGGAGTACGATTTCCTGGCGATTGCGAAGTGTTGCCTGAAAACTGCCATCAGAAAGTGTCACTAGAACGGCAAAAGAAATCGTATGAATGATTTTATAATGGACAGAGTAAAGAACTGCAAGATTTGTATTTATCACGTGTCATGGAACTGAAGGTTGCGAAGTCATACAAGAAAACTGAAAACCTGAAGATTTGCTGTGCAGCAATCTGTAATCTTTTCACAGAATCGATTGAGATATTGAGGGTTATCCAAGAAAATATATTAGACAATGACCCCTTTGCAGCGAAATGTTGGCAGTCATGATAATCGTCCACATAAAGTCTTTCTTGAATAATTCTTGAAATTGAACCATTTTATAGTGTCCGCCTCTTGAATTTGAAACCGATATTTTAATTTTGGGGGGGGGCGGGGATTCTTGTCCAATTTTTGTTGACATTTTGTTGACATCTCAAATGTTTTTAGAAAAACGCAAAAATTCAATTTTTTCGACCTCTTCATACATTTTCAATTACAAAGAACATTTTTTTGAAATTTATTCATCAGAAACAAATCTTCAAATAAGTTCATGCTAAATTTTTCGAAAATATGTGAATTTTTAGCGTGAAACAGGCAATTTTTTAATTTTAAACAATTATTTTCCCACAAACAGTTCTAATTGTTTTCTTTAAAGGTTTTTCCTTGTACGTAGGAAATAACTAAACATAGTATTGATGGGCCCCTTTTTGTCGAACTGTATTTTGGAACATTTCTCAAAAAATTTGGAACTTAATTCGAATTTCGTGCGCTTCGTTTGACAACTCGGTTCGCAAAAACGCAACGCAGTGGTTTCAAAATTCTTCGAATTGATATCATCGTTGATGTTCGTGATGATTGTATGATGAGGATAATATTCATATAAAAGGAAATGGGAGGATCGTAATAAATTTGGAATAAAACCAACAAACTCTTATTTACTTAAAAAAGGTGCGATGGCTGCTTATGACATTCAAGAATTAAAATCTCTCTTCAATGTAATCATCGCAAGCGTGTGTGAAATTATTCTCGCTTTGCTGTATTATGTGCGGCAAAAACTGTAAAAAGTATTCTTGTTTGTTTTATTTGTAAAAGTTAGAAATGACTAATGTTGCTGGCATAGGAGCTTCGTTTGAAATGGACTTTTCAAGTTGTAACTGAGTCTTTAGTCTGGCAGAAATTATAAAATGTCAAAGTGACGTAATTATTTCCAAAGGAAAAGTATGGGCTTTTGTTTTACTTCTAGATCCTCGTTTATGTATTGTTTTATGAAGAGCCAGGGAAAGAAAGGCTCTAATTGCCGTATTTCTCTAAAACGTTTTACAAAAAAAGCTGCCTGAATTCTGTAATGTAAAAAAAAGCAATTCCGCTTTCGGATACTTGTGGACGACAATGTGGGAATATTATCACATCTTTATGCACATGAATAGCCAAAGAGAGTGCAGTGGAAATTAGTCATCCGTAACCCATATGAGGCTGTTATTTCGGCCAATGTGCCTGGAACAAGGGACTCAAAATCAAAGCTCAAGAAACTTCAGGTAATCCCAACTGCATTAACGTATCTCTCACCCATAGTGGAGCGTAGCAGAAACCCTTCACCATTCTGTGTGCATGAACAGGATCATATCAAAGGACCGGAGAAGTGGTCTTCAAGACGTTTGTCTTTCTAAACCTACACAAAAGGGAGTTCATTCATGATACAGTCGTACCTGCAACTGCGATACATAGCAAGTGGGACTGTCCAATGTTCACCGACATACAGTGGTGTATTTACTCAGTTTCATCCCTGGAATCAGAAGTACAATATATAACAGTTGAAAAATATTAAGCTGCAAACAGTCAATCAATCGCCAGTAACATCTGTAAAAGAAAATGATGTTCGTGGTTTGTTTAAATTCCTTGCCTGAATGAGCTGCCTGTAGTTGGATAAAATGTTTTCTAAAAGTTAAATAATTGACTTTCACTTAGTGAAAAATATAGGAAACTTGCAAGCCGAAATATGTGCACTCCTAAAGTTAATGTTTCACTACTTGTGAAACTCTATGACAATTAATAACTGGAAAAAGGGCCCATACAGATGTTCAATATTGTTGCGATATTTCCAAGATTTCCAAAGAACAACAAATATATCGGTTCACAACATCGCTGTGTAGGCTCTTTCAGAAAGCTTGCGGAAACTAGCATGTTGTAAATTTCGTTAAAATTATTCGATAATGTTATTATTTATAAATTTCATTAGTGAGAAGTGACTGCATCTTAAATGTTTATAATCTGCCTTGCATATTCTAATTTTCTTATTTGAAATAGGTGTTCCTAAGATGGTCAAAAACACATCAAGTGTAGAGTCAAGCACAAGAAGAAGGAAACAGAGTATCATCTGTAGAAAAGACGATTGCCTGAAAGCAAAAACAGGTAAATGACCCGAAGTCATAGAAGTAGGTGAGGAATGAAAACTTTTCCACTGTCAATCTGTGAATATTGTGTGCATGTTGCTTTTTCATTAGAAAAGAATATAATTTTGTGAGTACAAATTAATCAATATTGGGCAACACAGCGCATGAAAATGAGAAGTGTTAGTAGAGGTCGTTGTGTGATCTGGAGAAAAGTTTTGATCCCTCTATTAGCGAAGACAATATTATCTATATATTTACAACTTACATCAATGTCGTTTAGAAACAAGTTTAGGAGAAATTGTGTTAAGTATTAAGTTGAAATCCTGATTCGAAATTTCATCAAAATGTAAAAATCTCTGTGTTAAAAAAAAGCAGATAATGCATAATTTGACTTTACATTGGCTAAGATTTCATCATTGACGTATGCTCCAAATTAAGTGTTGTGACGTAACAATTATTTTCTGCTTTCAAAAAGATTTGTTTCCGACAAACTGGATGTATTTGACAGTCAAATATAGAAAAATTGTTGACAGCCGAATCGTATCGCCTCCGCGACTTCGTGTGAGTCGGATGAGCGACAACGCTGATCCCTGGCCGTGAGAAAGGAAACAAATCCTCGCAAGCTGATTGCTTCAGAGCGGTCACATGTCATACCACAGCACGTGGCGAGAGAACAGTCAGAGTCGCTTACACGCTACTGCCGGGACTGTAGTTATACATTTGTCTTTTTTATTGTATTTATTGTATAAAATATTTATTGTAATTTGTATATTTATTGTAATATCATATTTTATTGCATAAAAACAAAATATCAATAATAATTTTAAGAATGACAAAATGAAAGCTTATGTACATTACGTCATGCATGTTCCTCGGGCCTTAACTGGTTCTAATCATCTCGGGCGACCAAAAGCCCTCGGACTTTTCGTCACCGATCGATCATTATAACCCTTATAACGTCCTTGGTGCATAAATAACAATTCTTTACTGGATGGATAATGAGAGGCCCGGCAAAGTCATCGCCCCCTCTCCTGTGTGAGGCTCTGTTATGTTCGCGTGTGTGTGTTGCAGAGGAGGAGATAAAGGAACGTCAGAATCTGGCGGCTGCTGCGGTGACGACTAAGACAATGAGAACTACGAGGAGGCTGATGCCGGCGGGGACGATGACGTGGACGATGCAGACGACGACGACGACGCCAGCGGCGGCGACGATGTTGAAGACGATGCCGTCGGCGGTGCCGGTGCCGGTGTCGAAGGCGATGAAAGCGGCGGTACCGATGTCGAGGGCGATACCAACGGCAGTGACGATGTCAAGGACGATGCCGGCGGCAGTGACGATGGCGAGGACGACGCCAGCGGCTCCTACGATGACCATGCCAACGGCAGTGACGCTGTCGAGGACGATGCCAGCGACAGTGACGATGGCGAGGGCGACGTCAGCGGCTCCTACGATGACGATGCCAACGGCAGTGACGCTGTCGAGGACGATGCCAGCGGCAGTGACGATGGCGAGGACGATGCCGATGCCGGCGGCTGTGCTGATGAGGCGAAGGTCGCTCCCGGGGGCGACGATGACGATGGTGCCGACGATGCCGTCGGCGATGACGACGACGACGTCGTCGACTGCGGGGTCGGAGGCATGGTGCGAGTGCCGGGCGCGCACCGAGGCCCTGCGGGCGCGGGTGTGGCGCGCGGAGCAGCTGCTGGAGCGCGTGCTGGGCCAGCTGGAGGCGGAGGAGCAACGCCGCCCGGACGCGGCCGCGGGCGACGGCGGCGGCGAACGCGCCGGCGACGGCCAACGCGCCGGCGCCGACGTGGACACCGTCGTGCTGGGCCAGCCAGGCGGTGAGCGCGCTGGCAAAACTGCTGGGTTTTCGCTACACGTACTTTTGCGCGTTGTTTGTAACGTGGAGGATCCTTGACGGTGCTTTCTTGGCTATCCGGGATGAGCCGCGTCTCGGTCAGTTGTGCTGGCGTTTCGGCCAACTTGCGGTGGTCTTCTTCAGAGCTATGCTGACGATAGAAGGCCACAGCAAGATGGTTGACGATTTGGCCATCTTACTGTGACTTTCTTCAGAGCTGTACTGACGATAGAAGGCCACAGCAAGATGGTTGACGATTTGGCCATCATACTGTGGCCTTCGGAGCTATACTGACGATGGAAGGCCACAGCAAGATGGTTGACGTTTCGGCCATCATACTGTGGCCTTCTGAGCTATACTAACGATAGAAGGCCACAGCAAGATGGTTGACGTTTCGGCCATCATACTGTGGCCTTCTGGGCTATACTGACGATGGAAGGCCACAGCAAGATGGTTGACGTTTCGGCCATCATACTGTGGCTTTCTGAGCTATACTGACGATAGAAGGCCACAGCAAGATGGTTGACGTTTCGGCCATCTTACTGTGGCCTTCAGAGCTATACTGACGATAGAAGGCCACAGCAAGATGGTTGACGTTTCGGCCATCTTGCTGTAGCCTTCAGAGCTATACTGACGATAGAAGGCCACAGCAAGATGGTTGACGTTTCGGTCATCTTGCTGTGGCCTTCAGAGCTGTACTGACGATAGAAGGCCACAGCAAGATGGTTGACGTTTCGGACATCTTACTGTGGCCTTCTTCAGAGCTATACTGACTATAGAAGGCCACAGCAAGATGGCCGAAACGTCGGTACAATTGACCGAGACGCGGCTTATCCCGGATAGCCAAGAATGCATTGACTCCGGCCGCGGAAGCCTAGGAACCCAATCCTTGACGATCGTAAATAATGTATTGGAGTCAGGTTAGCGGGGCTTAGTAGGAGCTAATCGAAATTAATCCGTGGTTATTTCCCGACGTTTGGGAAAATACATTTCCATCTTCGGGGCGTTCAACCACCCGACGGGTAGCATGCGACACGCGAGGTGCCTCAGAAGCACTTCGCGTGTTGCATGCTACCTGTCGAGGTGACAAGAACAAAACGAAGCCTATTCAATTCTGTTTACATACTTGTTCCGCGAGATCGATTATGGAGTATCGATTTTGCAGAAAATTATCTGATTACCAGGACCCGAATTTCGATGACATGACATCTTATAATTGGTGCATTCTAGACGTAGCTAGCTTGTAAATGTGTCGCGACATACAGGCGATAAAAATGTATAGTTGTTGGGTCGTCTTTGTCCTGGCGAACAGACTGACTGAGTCACTGACTCGACTGACTGAGTCACTGACTCGACTGACTGACTCACTGACTCGACTGACTGACTCGACTCACTGACTCGACTGACTGAGTGGCTCGACTGACTGAGTCACTGACTCGACTGACTGACTCACTGACTCGACTGACTGACTGACTCGACTGACTCACTGACTCGACTGACTGACTCATTGACTTGACTGACTGACTCACTGACTGACTCGACTGACTGACTGACTCGACTGACTGACTCACTCGACTGACTGACTCACTCACTCGACTGACTGACTCACTGACTCGACTGACGGACTCGACTGACTGTCTGATTTTGGGTGTAATGCAGTTTTTTGATACCCGGGATCCCCAAAACGATTAACCTGCCTACCCATCCTGTTCGACCCTTTCCTCCGGCGTCGCGAGCGCTGCCTGACGTGTGCGTGCGTGCGTGCAGGGGCGCCGCCGGTGTCGCTGCACGTGGCGGCGGAGCGCGGGCAGGCCGGCGCGGTGGCGCGGGCGCTGGTGGCC